CAGGCCAAACAATGGTGCTGACAGCAGGGCTTCTGCTGGGGTGGGGTCCCAGGTAGGGGCACCCAGAGGAGGCTTGTGGCTCAGTCTTGGGCAGTAGATCTTGCCCCATCCTGGTAGGGCTCTGTCAGGTGATATCTGCATACTCCCGGGAAGCCCTGGATGCTGTGCAACTCACTCCTCTCCTCTCTCTGCCTCAACCTGCAACAAGAAGCATCCAAGCAAAACTGGAGGCGGTTTGGCAGCCAGAGTGTGATTGAGGGGATGGAGTCTAGGGGTTTTGGAGACTCTCTGCAATGACATCTATGCCCAAGGGGAAGGATCCCAGGGACCTGAGAACTGGGGACCAGAAGTGTCCAGGACTGGATCACAGTTCTACGTCACGTCCAGACATAGAACTGGACCCTATAGTTGTCAGGCACATGGAGGAAGCCTTAGGAGAAAGAAGTGTAATTACCCCATGGGGTCTTCCTGCCCATGGCTCAGACAAAATCAATTCACTGAGATCACAGCATTGCGGTAAAGAAAGAGTTGAATTTTGTGAACCTGGCCACACCGCACAGGAGATAAGGCTATTACTCAAATCAATCTCTCCAAAGGGTCAAAGGTTAGGGGTTTTTCAAAGATAGTTTGGTGGGCAGGGGGCTAGAGATGGGTGCTGCTGATTAGGGATGAAATCAGGGGTGTGGAAAATGGTCCTCCTGGGCTGTCTGCTTCTGGGTAGGGGCCACAGGACTGGATGAGTTACGGGTCCAGGTAGGCCCATTCAATTATCAGAAATGCAAAAGCCTGAAAAAACATGTCAAAAAGCCTTTTTTTTTGAGATGGAGTTTCATTCTTGTTGCCTAGGCTGGATTACAGTGGCACAGTCTTGGCTCACTGCAACCTCCATCTCCCGGGTTCAAGCAATTCTCCTGTCTCAGCCTCCTGAGTAGCTGGGGTTACAGGCATGCACCACCATGCCCGGCTAATTTTGTACTTTTAGAAGAGATGGGGTTTCTCCATGTTGCTCAGGCTGGTCTGGAACTCCTGACCTCAGGTGATCTGCCTGCCTCGGCCTCCCAAAATGCTGGGATTACAGGTGTGAGCCACTGTGCCTGGACAAAAGGCCAGTCTTGAAAACAACTATAGGGCCGGGAGTAGTGGCTCAAGCCTGTAATCCCAGCACTTTTGAAGGCCGAGGCTGGTGGGTCTGAACCAGTTTCAATCTTTCATTTGCATGTACAGACCATGTTGAGGTCTAGGGCAGGACCTTTCCCTAATTAAGCCAGGGCCTCTTTTTGTCATTTGGAGCTCAATTTTTGTCTTACACTGGAGCCTGTGTCTCCCCGATCCATAGATTATTTATTTATTTATTTTTATAGAAAATAAAGCCTTTAGGCTGGGCACAGTGGGTCATGCCTGTAATCCCAGCACTTTGGAAGGCTAAGGCGGGCAGATCACTTGAGCTAGGTAATTCGAGACCAGTCTGGACATCATGGCAAAACCTCATTTCTACAAAAAATATAAAAATTAGCCTGGTTCGGTGGTCCATGCCTATAATCTCAGCTGCTCAGGAGGCTGAGGCTGGAGAATTGCTTGAGCTCAGGAGCTGAGGTTGCAGTGAACCAAGAACGTGAAGCTGCACTCCAGCCTAGGTGACAGTGTGAGACCTGGTCTCAAAAAAAGAAAAAAAAAAAAAAAAAAGGCTTTTTCTTTTTCTTTCACAGACCTCATGGTTTCTTGCTAACAGGAGTGGATAATTTGTGTTTGATCTCCAACAAAGGACTTTGTACCCCACACAGAGTATTGAGGGCTCACAGTGTAGTCCCTCCACTCTCCAACCAGCTCCGGCTGCAAACCAAGGTTGGAGAGAAATAGGAGGGTGGCAGGTGGCAGTCCAGGCGCAGTGGGGAGCCTGCTGTGGGGATTTAGATAGTTTGGATAGTCCTTGGTCATCTCATGGTGTCTCCTTAAAGGAACTAGCCTGCCCCTCTGCAGCCTCCCCTGTCCAGGTGGAGTCCAGGTATGCAGAGCTTTCAGGTGAATAAAATATTCACTTTCTTGAAAAGTGGGTTATAGTTCTTAGCTCAGATATGATGTGGCCAAAAGAAATTCCTATAGGAAATTTCACTGGTGTTTCTATCAACTTACAGTGTTCCATCTGGATCTTAGCTCTTCTGTCACTTCATGCCCTTGGTAACCCATCACAATAGTTGAAATGTCAGCTGTAGATGCGCTGATGTCCTCAAGAACAGGAGAAGCCACTTTGGGAGGCCGAGTGGGCAAATCATTTGAGGTCAGGAGTTTGAGACCAGCCTGACCAACATGGTGAAACCCCGTCTCTACTAAAAATACCAAAAAAAATGGCCGGGCGCGGTGGCTCACGCCTGTAATCCCAGCACTTTGGGAGGCCGAGGCGGGCGGATCACAAGGTCAGGAGATCGAGACCAAGGTGAAACCCCGTCTCTACTAAAAATACAAAAAATTAGCCAGGCGCGGTGGCAGGCGCCTGTAGTCCCAGCTACTCGGGAGGCTGAGGCAGGAGAATGGCGTGAACCCAGGAGACGGAGCTGGCAGTAAGCCAAGATCGCGCCACTGCACTCCAGCCTGGGGGACAGAGCGAGACTCCGTCTCAAAAAAATAAAATAAAATAAAAATACCAAAAAAATTAGCTGGACGTGGTAGCCTGTGCCTGTAATCCCAGCTACTTGGTAGGCTGAAGCAGGAGGATTGCTTGAACCTGGGAAGTGTAGGTTGCAGTGAGCCGAGGTCATGCCACTGCACTCCAGCCTGGGCAACAGAGCAAGACTCAGTCTCAAAAAAAAAAGAATAGGAGAGGCTGAGTCTCATGGAGGAATATCTGCCTATTTGCATGTCCATTCTATAATTTTTTAAAAAGTCGAGTTGAGTTTTATAAATACCTAGACTCATAAGGGTATGAAAAAGAAACAATTATGGTTTCTACAAAAGTTTATTTCTTTGTGCATTATATCCCACAGTCAAAATCTAATTGCAAAATCAAACACTTTACTCTCTGAAAAGATTAAGTACAATTGTGAAATTCTTACCAAGGTGTAATTGACAAAAATGGTGCTGTGATTTGTTTGTCCTCTCTGAAATCCATGCTGAAACTTAATCTGCAAAGTAACAGTATTAAGAGGTGGGTCCTTTAAGAGATAATTGGATCATGAAGTCTCTGCCTTCATGATTGTATTAATCCATTCCTAAATGAGTGAGTTAACGGCTGAGTAGGAATAATAGGGAGTGAATTATCACGAGACTGGTACTGTTATAAAAGCCTGGTTGGCTCTCTCTCCTGCAAACCTCTCCTCTCTCCTTGTGATGTGATGCTGTCCACCATGTTATGATGCAGGATGAGGCCCTTACCAGAAGCCAACCAGCTGCAGCCCGTGGACTGTGGACTTCCCAGCCTCCAGCACTGTAAGAAATAAATTTCATTACATGGATGTATTACATGATGAAAAAAAAAAAAAAGGTCGGTTGCAGTGGCTCATGCCTATAATTACTGCAGCCCTGACTCTCAGCCTCACGTGGTCTTCTCACTTCAGCCTCCTGAGTAGCTGGGACTACAGGTGCCCACCACCACACCAGCTAGTTGTTCTATTTTTTGTAGAGATGGGGTCTTGCTGTGTTGCCAGGGCTGGTCTCAAACTCCTGGGCTCAAGGGATCCTCCCTCCTCAACTTCCCAAAGTGCTGGGGTTATAGGTATGGGACACCATGCCCCAACAGATAAACTTTAAGTAGTGATTTGGCATATAACAGGGACATTCCCCTTGATTCTTTCTTTTTTTTTTCTTTTGAGATGGAGTCTTGCTCTGTTGCCCAGGCTGGAGTGCAGTGGCACAATCTCTGCTCATTGCAAGCTCTGCCTTCTGGGTTCACACCATTCTCCTGCCTCAGCCTCCCGAGTAGCTGGGACTACAGGCACCCGCCACCACGCCGGGCTATTTTTTTTTGTACTTTTAGTAGAGATGGGATTTCACTGTGTTAGCCAAGATGGTCTGGATCTCCTGACCTCGTGATCCGCCTACCTCGGCCTCCCAAAGTGCTGGGATTACAGGCAGGAGCTGCTGCGCCCGGCCATTCTCTTGATTCTAAAAGGACCTCTGAACCAATTGGGAAACATCTTTATTTAATCCGGATCATATATATATTTATAAATTTATATATATAAATATATATAAATATTTATATACTTATATGTACATATTATTTATATATTTATATAAATAATAAATGTATATTTATATATAAATACATTTTTATATATTTATGTTTATATTTAAAATATATATACTTCTATACTACATTTATATATATTTATATAAAAATGTGTATATATTTTTCTGAGATGGAGTCTTGCTCTGTCTCCCAGGTTAGAGTGCAGTGGTACGATTTTGGCTCACTGCAACCTCCACCTCCTGGGTTCCAGCAATTCTCTTGCCTCAGCCTCCCGAGTAGCTGGGATTACATTCTATATATATATCTATACACACACACACACACACCATAATATATAATATATACATATATATAGTATATATATAACATATATATTATATAGTATATAGTATATGTAGAACACCTAGGTTCAACCAATCTGCTGCCTTGGCCTCCTAAAGTCTTGGGATCACAGGCATGAGCTACTGCGCCCAGCCTGCGTCTTTATTTATTTAGTTCACTTGTGTCTTCCTCTGTTTCTGCACATCATGTGAGCACCTGAGGAAACATCTCCCCATGATCTTGGATGTTATAATGAATCGTGTCTTACTGGTGTACCTCTTTAGGCTTTGAGCCTGAGAGAATGACAAGGGTCTTAGAATATTTCATTTAAAAAATAAATTTTGTGCTTTTCTAATGTTCCAGGAATTTTACTGCTGTTGAAAAAAGGGCCATAAGATGCAATTATAATAAATGTATTTCTGGGAATGTAGAGAAATACTTTAAAAGTCTCAGTTCCAGATCCGGCGCATCATTGACGTCATCGTTGCCAGACCGCTTTCTAGGAGACTGGAGTCGAAGGCCGTGAGTCAGCCATAATGGCAGCTGAAGAAATTAATGAGGACTATGCAGTAGAAATTCACGAATATTTGTCAGCGTTTGGGAATTCCATTGATGCTGTGGATGAGATGCTGAAGAACATGATGTCTGTTTCTAGAAATGAGTTGTTGCAGAAGTTAGACCCACTTGAACAAGCAAAAGTGGATTTGGTTTCTGCATACACATTAAATTCAATGTTTTGGGTTTATCTGGCAACTCAAGGAGTGAATCCTAAGGAACATCCAGTAAAGCAGGAATTGGAAAGAATCAGAGTATATATGAACAGAGTCAAGGAAATGACAGACAAGAAAAAGGCAGGCAAGCTGGACAGAGGTGCAGCTTCAAGATTTGTAAAAAATGCCCTCTGGGAACCAAAACCGAAAAATGCATCAAAAGTTGCCAATAAAGGAAAAAGTAAAAGTTAACTTTTTTTTTTTTATGTACACATATTCAAAAAGTACATCTTTTTTTTCCCCACAAAATAATTCTGTGGTAGTGCAAGGTTTAAATGTAGTCCTTATTGAATTAATATGTAAATTTACAGTAAATTTGTAAAGCTAAATACTTTCCTCTCCAAAGGGTGTTATCTTTATTGATTTGCACTATGAGGGTTTTAACATTGTGATATATTTTATATTTACAATTTACCATGTCTTTTGATGAGACTCTTATTTCTTTATATAGGTCAGTCTCGCAAGTACCATTTTCTAAGCAACTGTGAAATTTAAGTGAAATGTTCTTTGTAAATATTTGTACTATTTTAAATGAAATAACACACTTATACCATCCGCAGACACATATAAAATACTCAATAAAGGCCAATTAATGTAGTTGATTGCACGTAGCTCCAGGTACAGTTATTCCCCAATTCATTGTCTATTTCTTCTTTCTCTTAATTATTTTGAGCTTATCAGTTGTAGCAAAAGCACACACTATTTTTCCTCTGTAGTAGTGTAGACAACATAAATGATCTCTTGGTAGAAGTTTTAATCCAGTCATTGCTTTATTTTATTTTGTTTTTTTATTTTAGATTCGGAGTTTCATGTGCAGGTTAGTTACATGGATATATTATGTGGTGCTGAGGTTTGGGCTTTTATTGATCCTGTCACTCAAAAGTGAACCTAGTTTCCTATAGATAGTTTTTCAACCCTTCCCCGCTCCCTTCTTCCTCCTCTTTTGGAGTCCCCAGTGTCTTTTGTTCTCATCTTTATGTCTGTGTGTACCCATTGTTTAACTCTGAGTTATAAGTGAAAACGTGCAATACTTGGTTTTCTTTTTTTGCATTAATTTGCTTAGAATAATGGTTTCTAGCTGCATCCATGTTGCTGCAAAGTCTATGATTTCATTCCTTTTATGGCTGTGTAGTATTCCATGGTGTATATATACCACATTTTCTTTGTCCGGTACACCACTGATAGGTACCTAGGTTGGTTTCATGTCTTTACTATTGTGAATAGTGCTGTGATAAGCATTCAAATGCAGGTGTCTTTTTGGTAGAATGATTTATTTTCCTTTGGACATATATCTAGTAGTGGGATTGCTGGGTTAAATGGTAATTCTATTTTTAGTTTTCTCATTTGTTTGAGACCGAGTTTCGCTCTTGTTGCCCAGGCTGGAGTGCAATGGCGCCATCTCGGCTCACTGCAACCTCTGCCTCCTGGGTTCAAGCAATTCTCCTGCTTCAGCCTCCTGAGTAGCTGGGATTACAGGCGTGCACCACCACGCCCGGCTAATTTTGTATTTTTAGTAGAGATAGAGTTTCTCCATGTTGGTCAGGCCGGTGTCGAACTCCTGACCTCAGGTGATCTGCCCACCTCTACCTCCCAAAGTGCTGGGATTGCAGGGATGAGCCCCCACGCCTGGCTGGAGCAGCCTCTTTCATCACAGGCTTACTGGGTCCCAGGTGGAAGTGCCCCTGCCTCATCTGCAACAGTGCAGTGGGGAGGGGAGGGGAGAGGCAAGAGATGACACCCTCTCCACGTCCATTCCCAGGCTCTTATTGTGACTCCTTCAGTGAGTAGTGCTGCGGCCATGTTTCTTTTCTTCCAAAGGGGGCTTTGGTGGGCTGCACTCCCCCAACCTTGAGTGGACTGCACTGAGGGTTATGACACCAAGGGATCTGCAACTCCCCAGTGACCTCTCTCTGGTCCCCTGTGCTTGCTGGAGTCAAGTGGGTTGTGGGGTATGTCTGCGGGCAGTTAGGCAATGCAGTGGCACCAGTGGTGTACAACTGTTATGGTACCTGTGGCCTGGGGTTTTCGGTCCTGCAGGTGGCCATGAGGCCTGCCCAGCTCATGCTCTCCTGACCTGGTGCGTCTCTTCTGGTATCCACACTGGCAGCAGGCCCAACTGGCTAGGCTTGCTCTAAGCTGTCTGCATCCAGGTTGCTGAGCCATTCCAGGTATTCTCAGCCATGAGACCCCATGAGGGAGAAGCCTTGGCTATCAGGCCCTGCCCTTCCCGGTCCAGTCTTGCAAAGGGTGGGGGCACTCAGCTCCCATGCTGGCACATGGACCTGCACAGCACTCTTCTCTGTGCAGTGCAGTGGAGGTGTGCTGTGGGCATCCTTCTGTGAGACTGGCCAGGTGGGCAGTCTTGGGAAGTGCTGGGAGGCAGTGGGAGTGAGGTGGTAGGGGGAGTGTGGTTCAGATGCACCTCGGTCCCATGCTCAGTGCAAGACAAAGCGTCTTCGGAAATCAGTGTTTATGGTTGTGTTTTGCTACCATGGCACAGCACAGCGAAGCCTGGGCTTTGCCCAGATTCAAGCTGTGCCTCTGCTTGTTCTCCAGGCGGCTCTCCCTGGAAGTCCAAGTGTTTATGGGGATCGTGGGAGCTCCTGTAGCTAGATCACAGGGGTCCATGCAGGGAATGTGATGCCTGAAGTTCTTTCATCACCAGCTCCTTAGATCTGGTCCAGGTCCGGGAACTGTTCCTGGCACCCAGCAACTCCAAGTAGGCTGTGAGCTTCCTCCCTCTAAAACCATGGTGTTTGCGTGGCCTCTCCATTGACCCTTGGTGTTTTCTCAAGAGATGTTTGAAATGTGAAGGCTTCCTCAATACTTTGGTTCCTCTTCGTGGAAGAAGCACCCTCCAGTGGCTTGTAGTTGTCCGTGTTGCCTCTTTTTGCTTTAAACCAATGGTGTGATGGCCATAACCCGGGTTTGAGTGTGTGTGTGTGTGTGTGTGTGTGTGTGTGTGTGTGTGTGTATATATATATATATATATATGTATGTGTATATATATATATATATATATATATATATAGTTGTTGTTAGGATGTGGGCCTCTAATTTTTTTTTAAATTTCCTTATTTAAAATGAGAAAAAAATATCTGTAGGTTTACCTTACCTTTCTGTTCCATTTCCTTCGCCCTCTTAAGCAAAATATTTCTTTCTGAACTCATTTCTTTCTTCATATACCCTATGTATAATATGTACCCTATGTACAGTACCAGCTACGAGCAGGTGAGTCATGATAGTGATATTCTGCTTTCATTATTTTCCTCACTTCTGCCTTCCAGGTATTCACAACTGACATAGATTTACCAAAAATTTGCGGTGGCATAAGATTGTCTGCCATCTTTCTTTTTCATTTTCTTTTATTTTTTTGGTTGAGACGGAGTCTCTGTTGTCCAGCCTGGAGTGCAGTGGTTCTACCTTGGCTCACTGCGACCTCCACCTCCCAGGTTCAAGTGATTCTCTGCCTCAGCCTCCTGAGTAGTCGGAACTACAGGCATGTGCCACCACGCTAGGCTAATTTTTGTATTTTTAGTAGAGATGGGTTTTGTCATGTTGGCTAGGCTGGTCTCAAATTCCTGACCTCAAGTGATTCGCCCACCTCGGCCTCCCAAACTGTTGGAATTACAGGCATGAGCCACCGTGCCCAGCCCGTCTGCCATCTTTCTAGGATTCTAGGAGACAGGCCATGTATCACCCATGGTCTATCTCCAGGGACCAATCTACCCATATAAGGTTTCGTATTATGTCATTTTACCAAAATAAGCAATGGGATGATTATATCTGTCATGCGAGTCCGTGTGAAGAGACCATCACACAGGCTTTGTGTGAGCAATAAAGCTTTTTAATCACCTGGGTGCAGGCAGGCTGAGTCCGAAAAGAGAGTCAGCCAAGGGAGATAAGGGTGGGGCCGTTTTATAGGATTTGGGTAGGTAAAGGAAAATTACAGTCAAAGAGGGGTTGTTCTCTGGTGGGCAGGAGTGGGAGTCACAAGGTGCTCGGTGGGGGAGCTTTTTGAGCCAGGATGAGCCAGGAAAAGGACTTTCACAAGGTAATGTCATCACTTAAGGCAAGGACTGGCCATTTTCACTTCTTTTGTGGTGGAATGTCATCAGTTAAGGCAGGGCAGGGCATTTTCACTTCTTTTGTGATTCTTCAGTTACTTCAGGCCATCTGAGCATATCCGTGCAAGTCACAGGGGATTCAATGGCTTAGCTTGGGCTCAGAGGCCTGACAATATCCATCAGCGTATCAACCAAGAAAAAGAACTAGTATATATTTAGAGATGTGTTGCAAGGAACTGGCTTATGTGACTGTGGACGATCACTTGAGAAAGTCCAAAGTCCATAGGAAAGGTTGGGCGAGAGCTGATGCTGTTGTTCACAGGCAGAATTATTTTATGGAAGACTCAGTTCTGCTTTGAAGGCCTTTTTTCCAACTGATTATTTCAATAAAGTTTATTGGAAACCCATAATCAATTCAGAAAACTCATCTATAATATTCTTTGTTATACAGCCACTAACAGTACCAATATCTGTCCGTCAAAATTCGACCAGAGAAACAGAATCAGTTTTCAAGGAAATTGACTTACACAATTGTGGGGACTGACTAGGCAGGAAGGAAATTTGTAGGGAAAGGTGAGCTGACACTCTCAGGCAGGAGCTAAAGTTGTTCTCCACTCCCACCCACATTGTATTGAATAATCTGTTTTAGGTAAAGCCAATTGATTTTATATATTAATCACACGTGCAAAATGCATTTGTAGCAACACCTGCATTCATGTTTGATTTGTGTTGCATTCATGTTTGATTGATAAACAGCAGAGCTTAGACTAGCTAACTTCACACATGGCCAGACCACCACATTGATGATGGAATAAAATATGTTTCAGGAAAAGCTGAGGAAAACGTGAAAAGTACAAAGTAAAGCGAGACTCTCCTTTTTTTTTTTTTTTTTTTTTTTTTTTGATAAGGTGTCTCGCTTGCTCTGCCACCCGGGCTGGAGTGCAGTGGCGCGATCTCAGCTCACTGCAAGCTCCACCTCCCAGGTTCACGCCATTATCCTGCCTCAGCCTCCCCAGCAGCTGGGATTACAGGCACATGCCGCCACGCCCGGCTAATTTTTGTATTTTTAGTAGAGACGGGGTTTCACCGTGTTAGCCAGGATGATCCACCCGCTTTGGCCTCCCAAAGTGCTGGGATTACAGGCGTGAGCCACCGCGCCTGACCTCCTTTTGTTAA